TCCAAAAAGAAAGAGAAGCTCGTGTCTTGACATGTGAGAAGACAATCCCGTGCCTTGATACGTGCGAAAATAAGAAAAGAAAAGGAACTAAACATAGGACTAGTGCAAGAAGTCTCTAGACTTAACACAAATACAACTTGGATCAGGCTGGAAAACAGTGCAAGGCCGGACTGCAGAGGTCGTTTTACTACAAGTTATAGATGGTGCTACCGCTACTACTTCACCAATTAGTATCTCGTGTGCAACCAGCTCAGTAAGGATCAGCCTTTTATGGTAGATACTAGGAGAGTGGAGTGATAAAACGGCAAAAGAAAAACTTTGGATTTCCAAGAGGAAAGGGAGATACTGGCTTTTTAGTGAAATTTCGGCATCGACGGATAGACTCAATCCATATAAAACCCACCACCATTTGTATCAACCTTTTCCGTCAGTGACCAAAACTATCTCATATTACAGAACTCAGCAAGTTGAACCAAACGGTGAAAACCGCAAGTCTCTAGCCTTGTTAAAAGAAAAAGTTATAGCCATTTTATTCTCGTTGCGGAAAAATGCATTTTCATGATTTTTCACCAGCTTTCGCCGAACATCTTAAAATTTCTTTCAGAAGTTTTTCAACCATATCATTGGATAGCCCCTTCAATTAAAATAAGATGTTGGCCAAGTTTCTACGATCTTGTGTCAAAAAGTATCATAGGAAATACGACACTGCTCGAAAATGGCAATAGAGGGAATGAAGCAGTTATAGTTTAGTAACGTGTATAATATAACCTTTGAATACTATCTCTTTTCACAATCAAAAAATGTCACAAGAATAATTAAAGCTCGAATAAAAAATGTAACACCAAATAAAATGTGTCTACGATTAAATACAGTAGCAAATGCTTGTATAAGAGTAATAATACAAATGATGAGTGCTGTAGTTAATTATTGTTTAATGCTTTTTATGTATTTCAGCTTGATTTGTTGTTGTTTCAATGGTTGTTTTTCCAGGAATTATTGCTGTTGCACCTGCCACATGTGTTTCACCTGTCGACGCTGCTTTTGTTGTTATGACCGTTGTTGTTGTTGATTGTAGACGATGTTGTGCATCTTCAGCCGATAGACTGGCAACTTGATCTGTAATACTTTCCATCTTGGCATTCGCTTGGGCTTGTGCTTCCTTTAAAACACCCATTTTTAATTGATTAGCTTGTTCATTCAACTCATCTATACGCTTTCGTGCTACTGCTAGAATATCTTCTTGTCGCTGATTTAAATCTTTTTCCAATTGTGCCAATGCTTGTGCTTTTGAGGCATCTAATTCTTCAACCATGACTTGTAGTTTTACTTTATAATCTTGTTCAATGGTATTCGAACGTAAATTAGCATCTTGTAATAATTGTTCTTGAGTTTTTTGCGTTTCTTGTACAATCGCTTGAATTGAAGTCTGAACAGCTTCCGATATTTGTTCATGTCGCTTTTTGGAATACTCATCAATTTGGTTATGAGTTGTACCTATACAACACATATTAGCTTTTTATCCTAAAGACATTACATACGTACTAAGTTTAGCCATTAAATCATTGATCTTTTGCTGATGCTGCATGTTAATAGTAGACTTCGTATCAGTACTAACAATCGATTTTACACGAACATCGTCGCTGATAGCTGTATGGCTGACGGCAGATGACGAGGATGAACCGACTGAACCATGACTAACACCACTACCGACTGCCGTTGTTGAATTACCTTTATTATCTTTACCTAATATAGCGTTGATTATCGATGACATCTTTATGCAGTATTTAACAGACAGAGCTAGAAAAGGAAATGAGAAACATTAGTCATTCATTTCTGATGAATACATTTCCTTGTCAATAATTTCAATTCACAAGAGAGGCTTACAGTTAACGAGAGACCATTCCCAGGTGGCATCTCTCATTTTGACTAATTCATATTTCAATCGATAGAGTATATCGAGGTAGTGTAAAGCCTTAAAGGTTTTTCCCCATGGCTCTTGAAGACTCGGTTTTCTAGAACATCAGTTTTTCAGACACGCTAAAACGTAACCAAAACCTTTCTTAATGAGGCATAATGGTAGCGCGCAAGTTCTTGATTAAAATGAAACATCTGCCAGCTGTACACGACCTTTCCTTGCAAAGTTATACAATTTATAAGAGAAGTCCGAAATGTTCATTGTCAGCTCAAAGCAGCAGAAATAAGAAGAAATTAATTCCAAGTTTTTCTTATAAATCCTATAACTTTGCAAAGAAATTTCATGTAAAGCTGGGAGATGTCTTATTTTAACCCTTTGCGTCGGGATTTTTTTGAAAAAAAATAAGATGTTTTTTTCCTTTCAAAAAATATCTGGAACAAATTTTATTGTTATATAGAAGCATTCAGAAATGTTTCAGAGTATGATAATCTTCAAAACAAGCTATCACACAAAGTCCAACGTCGCAAACATCACACTGATAACGTGTATCAGTACGTTTTTCCTCTCGTCTGCTTGTACGAGTACAAACTATACAAGGTCTTCGTGCAATTTGCTTATGTGAAAAGACACGTGTAGAATAATAAGAATTTATTTGGGTTTTGTGAGGATACATATATCGAAAGATGTAAGTCGCTTCTTGTTTAGAATCGCAGTTTCATTTATACGAGAGAACGTATTGAAGAAGAAAAGAAAAACAGTACACCAGAATATATTAGAACGAGGTAGAATGTGAGAAGTAGGCGTATCAGAACGTAAGAGAGAGCACATAATACGCACATAGCTATACGGAACAATGATGCAATAGTGCTACCACGATAAGAAAAAAAGAGAGGAATCTTTTCAATGAAGCCTAAATAATATTATAATCACGATAATATGTGCAAAGCTTCAACACGCATATATGCGTGCCCCGGCGCCAAAGGATTAATCAGAAATTTGCGGACTACAATCATGCCTCATTAAAGAAAAGTTGTGGGTTATTTTTTAGAGTTTTTGAAAAACTGCTTTTCTAAAAGACCGGGTCTTCAAGAGCCATAAGGAAAAGTTCTTTTAGACTATGAATGAAACAAAATAGAAGATAACACCTGAGAATGTTTCGTCGTAAGAATCGAATCGAAAAAAAAAGTATTCTTTTTGAAGCCTTTGAAGAACAACGAAGAATTATAAAGATGGCATATGATCAGAGACTAAGGAGCATCTCTAATCCAAGATGCTCTACTCTGCATAAGAAGCGTCATTGATCACCTTGTTCTACATAGTCTTGGACCACTAGCACAGTAGTTTGGTTTTCTTTTGTTTCTTCTTTTTTTATGTCTTCTACTGCTCTTCAAACGGATGTTTTCTTCTTTTCCGTACAGGTGGTACTTTTTTTACAAGTCTCTGACTTTTTGTGCTTACCTATGTGCATAGGATTTTCTGAAAGATTATTTTCTACACATGAAATAAAGTTCAAGTTCTGATAAACGGTTTTTAGGTTTTAAAAACTTCTCAGGGATAGATGGAGTGGACGAAGGGATATGACACATTTTTCGAAACGTCCCCCTTGAAGTATCCTAAGAACTGCTTTGAAATGACGCCTCTACGACTTCGACTTCTGATGTATGAGCATCATAATCAAATTTCTTTATTAAAATTTTTATCGGCTAAGAAAAAACGAAATTTTTTCAAAAGTAGAATTGCCTCATCTTTCTTTTGGAACCAAAAGATTCCATAACGTTTTTCGAGTTTATGGGCAAGATTAAAAATAAAAATTTAAGAACTATTGCGGCTATCATATTAAGAATTTTAATAAAATTTTGTAAAAGATTCAGATTAAAAGAAATATTTTTGTAACAATATCCGAAGAGTCTAGGTAACTGAAATGAAGAGACCAACGTTCTTCTGTTTGATATGAGTGTTCCAAACCCATCTCAAGCTAAAATAATTCTGTTCTTCTTTACTAATGTCTCTCTACCTTCGCTTTGTTTCAGTGAATTTTTTGTTTTTCGATACTTAGTCGTTATCGTTTACCAAAGTAAAATATCAATTATTTATTACTTTTTTTCTGATATGAAAAGTAATCAAATGACACGTAAATTTGTTTCTTTTTCTTGTTTGAAAGAAAACTAAATGTCTTTAAAATACTTTCTTCTTCGAGAAGGTTTAACTGTCATTTGAAAAGGAAAGAGAAGAAAAGAAAAGAAAAACGGAACGAACAACTACAAATATTGATGATTAAGTATAACTGTGCGTGTTTCTATTTTAATTGAATGTTGCTGATAATATCTTGTCTAATACAACTTACTTTCGTTTACTTACTATGCAACAAAGAAAGATTTATGTCAATTGGATTGAACTGTATTATCTAGAATAATAAAATATGAGTTGTTATGAGAATAAAAGTTTACTATTTTGCACATTTTTTCTAAATGAATGATTTTGTAAATATATAACAGTACAGGCGATATCTAATTTAATATAAATTATATTTATTCAGAGAAAGAAGAGAAAATAAATGCAGTCTGATTTTGACTACTTTTCTTCACACTAGCTACAGTAATATACCCATGGCCAAATTTCTTACATGACTTGTCTCACCAAAACGAGTAAAAAATAAAAACGCGTTTTCTTTCTTGAATATGAAAGAAAACGCTGGTGTTTTTTTTTGTTTGTTTCTAATTATTTTTCAAAAAAGTCGTGATTTTTTTTAGTTTTTTCTAGAAAAAGAAAGTATTTTTCACCCGTTTTCTAAAATAAAATAAAAATTTGGCATTTTGTCGAGATTGCTCTCTCGTAGAAAATTTTTCAATGGATACTAACTATATCATGCTCTAGAAGAAGGCAGCACTTTCTATTTTCTTTTTTCTCTTTCTTCTCTTTTTGTTTCACTCACGCTGATGATGATGACGGCGATGACTGTTATTGTACTATGTCTTTCTACATGGACAAAAAAAAGAAAAATACATTATTTTTTCTGCGATTAAAAAGGATATATATAGTCACGTACCATTGCAGAAGTAATAATACACGCACAGAAAAGAGAAGAATTGATAGAAGAGGACTGTCAAACATAACAACTGTTCACCATATATGTAGGCTTGTTGTAATTTGAAACGAGAAAAAAAATAAAGAACAAGAGAGAGCTCCTCTGATATGATTTTAATAAACAGAAATATTTTGTAAAGCAAATTTTGTGATTCAGAGAAAGGCTGTCAGTCGCTGAACAATTTTTTTATGCTAATCGAAAATAAAGAATTTTATCTTAATAACAATAGATATCTGGCTTTTATCAAAGACTAATTTATATTTCATTTCAGTGGTAGACACCTTCCTCTGCCAATAAATGGAATTATAATTCTCACTTCATACTCTCATAAGACCGCAAATAGTAGTTCCTTAAGTACTGATATGATCTGAATTTATCTCAAAAACCAAGGGTTTCTGGAAACTCGGTAACTCGGCCCAGAAACATTTGCGCTAATGACATTGATGTATCCTTAATAGGTGTATCGATGTGGAAATTTCATTGAATTTGGAGCTTAGCTAAACTTGGTGCGCTCACTGTACGGAGGACCGCTCTTCGGAAAACACTTAGCAGAGAAAGACACATTATTTCCTCGGTTCCAAAGCTCCATCTTTAAGCCTACCAATAGTCACCGCGTGCCATTCCTCGGACTCGTAGGAAATCCGAAAAACGCCCGAACCGCGCGAAATCAAGATCTTACTTTACTAACATTTTGAAGAGAACACCCCGGGCTATCAGTCCATTAAAAAAACCAATATAGTTTTATTGGAGAAGCTTTACGGCCAGCCTAGTTTTCTAAAGACCTCCTAGAAAACCTGTTTCAGAAACCTGATCTGGAGACAATTTTGATCATGGAAACATGCCTTCAAGTCTCCTCTCTCGAATGGCGAAAACCGAAGCTCTCTAGCTCTTTTCTATCAAAAGGTATTCAGAAAGCAACCAAGTGCACAGTGTTTTGGCTCCGATAATAGGAAAATGTTTTCCAATTCTGGAAACAAAGTAGTGGTAGTTTGATAACCCGTGTTTTGTGATACTTCTAGGTACATACTATCGATATATGATAAGAAAAAATCTAGACCATTACCTTTTGTTTGGGTCAAATTTTTTCACAAAAACGGTACTATTTTTATCATCATTACTCATATGCTTATTGTGTTCGAACAGAAGATAAAATTAGAATAATATTTTATGTTGTAAAAATAAATTCGGTTTTGATTCTCTTCTCACAGAGAAATATTTCAAATAACACCCAGGAGTCATTTCGGAAACCGCGATACCCGAAACCATGTTTTTTATCTACCTTTCGAATTGTCTACGTCTCTACGACCGCCTGGCCGATGGGCCGATTTCATCACAAAACGGCCGCCCTCGTTTTCCGCCCTATTTTTAACTTTCAATACAAGTTTGTGTTTTGAAAGATAAGCTCGAATCTTTTGTTATTCGATGGGTTGTGTTGAAATGTACCTAAAACAGTTTTCCTCGCTTTCAGATAAGGTTTGGCGGAAGATTTTGGATTTGACTTGCCAAATCAGTTTTTGGTGCAGAAAGTGTTTTGAGAAAACCTGCAACTGAAGCGAAACGCCGAGTTTTGTTTCAGTTGCAGGTACTGTTTGGACATATTGCATATACTGTTTCCGACTGGTTTCATGCTTATCTCTCAAAGCGTGTTCAGTGTGGAAAAATAGGTGAGGAATTTTCATCTAAGTCACTTGTGTTTCGCAGGGCTCTATTTACAGGTGTTTATTATTTTTTCTGTTTATAAATAATTTAGCTTCGGTTGCGTCAGCTTCTGCTTTATACGGTTTATTTGCGGAAGATCTTTTTATAGTAATCAGATTCTACACCTGTCGTTCAAAATCTAGTTCAAGAAGAAATCAATCTTGATTGTTCTTGGTGTATGAATAACCACATGGCGTTGAACATTGATAGGTGTTCATAGATATATTTCTGTCTAGACCCCCGAATTTCCAATAAAATACCTTTTTTCACTTAATAATCAAATTTTAAAATATGATTCAACGACAGAGGTTCTCAGTATACGTCTATTTCACAGGACCTGAAATAGTTAATTCATATTAGTGGAACAGCTCTTTCTTGCAAATACTTCTAAATCTACGACTCAGATTTCAGTACCTATACTGAGCTACTAGAATATGTGCGGCGGTTAGCTGCCAGAATTATTAGTAGGAACTTTAGGCTAGGGGTATAGCCGTAGCGGTTTTCCTTCTCAACTGTCAACGGTAATCTATCAGTTGACATTCTGAACTGTCAACTGCATCTGGTCAGTTGACGTTCTGAACCACAACGGTATCTCGTCAGTTGACGTTCTCAGCGGTCAACGTTGAAACCAACTGATTTAAGATTCTTAAATGAGTGAAACCTTCATCCTTTTCACGTAAAGTTTTGACATGAATGAAGATCTCTCGTCAATCAAAATGTTTTGAGAAATTTCCCCGTTTTCTACGTTATTCTGCTCGTTTTCTGCCTCGTTTTTTTAACTTTCTTTCGCATGATTTTCTCAATGCTTTTCGGTCTACAAGTCATCATACTTATACTGAAGTACACTATAACGATATCTAACGACATAGTTTTTCACGTTGACAGTTGACAGTTTAGGAGATCAACTAATGTGACACCTTGACAGTTCAGAACGTTTTTTTTAAATGCAACCTTGGCATAATCACGTTCTCAATATGTTACCCTAACTGATGTTACTTCTGTTATGAAAACAGATTTGTTTTGGTGAAGTGAAATAGAAAAGAAATTCAAATTTGTTGCATACTGTCTGTGTATACAAAGACCGATCGGTTCTTTCTTCGCTTTCATTACTGCACATATGTAAATATTGAGAACGCAATTATGCCAAGGTTACATTTAGAAAAATGCTACATCATCGTTAAAAATGGTTTCTTTTATCATATTTACATAATAAGTGACGTTCGTGGAATTGAATAATTTCTTGACGAACGTGCCTGTATAGATAAAAATGAACGTGATAATAAACAATTATTTGAATCCAAAGTATAAATTTTGTGCACTGAGTAAAGACTGTCGTTCTACGTCAGTTATTTATATTGAAACAACTTATTTGTACCTTATCTAATCTTTGTATCAAACACAAAATGTAATTGCTCTATCAGAAAGATATTTATGCAGCCATATTTTCTTCTGTATGCGAGAATGAAATTATTTTACGTCTTAATTTCAATTAATTATTCCAGTAAGTTTAACCTTGCAACATTAGTGTTACTTCATAATACTAAAATAGATGCCACACTTGGTTATTTTGATTGTATCTATTATTCTAATCAGACAATAGATTATGAATACGTAAAATATTGTCGACGGGTTCCACTTCATAAAGAATTCGATAAGGAAGAATGCTTAAATGGTGGAAAGGAGTATAGTTTTCATAAATTAAACCAAGACACTGTACAACCGGATGAAATCCTTACATGGAGTTCATCAATTGAATTAGTTGATAAGTATGCCGCGTATATTAGCGGGTAAGTCATTATCTATATATTATATAGCAGTCTAGTAATGTTATTTTGCTTACTTAGAACCGATTTCTATGCTAACAACAGCCTATGTAATTGTACGAAATGGGGTACATTCGGGAAACACTGTGAATATAAAATGATTTTTCCAGGAGGGGAAAGTTTTGATGAAACTATTCAAAATCAGTTTATACGTAAACGAGATGTAATATACGGTAGTCAATTGTCTGGACATATAATGTGTTATGAACCGTATTTTAATTGTGATTATGGTACATTATGTTTGGATTGGAGAAATATATGTGACGGTAAACAACAGTGTATCGATGGAACAGATGAAAATAAATGTGAGTGGTTAGAATTTAATGAGTGTGAACCACACGAATATCGATGTGAGTATAATCAAAAATGTTACTTATCGCTTAAATGAAACAACAATCAATTTCAGGTTCAAATGGAATGTGTATACCTGCTCAATATTTCCTAGATGGTAATTCACTATTTTCAACTTAAGGAGATGGGGCTATACTGTTACTCATTTTCTTTACCGTTTTGTAGTTCAGCCTCTTCATTACGTATGATGGGTTTTGATTTTAAATGTTATAACAGTACCACTACACCGTGTATACCGTATAATCAGCAATGTAAAAGTCGATGCGAAATGAATGAGGATAGTCTATTGTGTGATAAATATAATTTGGTCATGGACCCAAATAATTCTGAACTATTTAAAATAAATAGATGTGATGGAAAAATAAATTATATTTATGCAAATAATGATGAATATTATTGTGATCCAGATGATCCAAAAGCAAAAATGCTGTATAGACAAAAAGCATTGATACAGAAAAGTGTTACAACAATACGTTTACCATTCGATACAGAATTATTAAAACGTTCTTCCTCATTGTTTGTATCTATATTACTCTCAAACATGCGTAAAGCATTTAAAGATGACAAACTATTATTTATTAGTCTTAGTTATGAACAACGAGTTCAATATCATAATTATGTTAAAAGACATTCACTAGAGGCATGGTCATGTAATCGTGGAATTTCTGTAAGAAAAGAAGGTATAATCGAATGTTTTTGTCCTCCAAGTACATATGGTCGATATTGTCAATATTATAGTGATAGAATAACGGTAATAGTGAGTGTACATAATATTATTAATGTCAAAATCATGGTTACATTGTGGTTAGATGAAAATATGATTGATAGCGAAGAATTCGTAGTAAATTCAAATACGATTAAGTACAAATTTTATCTTATTTATTCAAAACCAAAACTTATGAATGGATCATATTTTGTACAAATCGAAGCATTTTCTTCAACGGTACCACTTTCTCTTTTATCTGTCTGGCAATATTCTATAAAACCATTTGTTTTTCTACCAGCCTATCGGTTATCTACTATAGTAAAATTTTCATCTATACTTTCTCCGGCCAATCAACACATTTGTAATACAATATTGAATCCATGTAAACATAATAGTACTTGTTTTCCAATACAAAATAAAATCAATGATTCCCATGCTTTTTATTGTCATTGTCACAATAACACATATGGAAAAACATGTGAAAATAATCATAATGCATGTTTCATAGGTGACCAGTGTTCCCCGGATGCTATTTGTCGGCCGCCAAAATCAAAATGCATTTGTCCTGTAAATCAAACAGGTCCTACCTGTCATTTAAAACATTCAACTCAAAAATGGACCCATTTATGTTTAAATGGAGGTAGTGCTGATCTACGCAACGGTCTTCGTTCTCTTAAATGTTTATGTAATCGACATTTTCACGGTGACTATTGTCAATATTCATCTGGTACTGTAAACATATCTTTGAAATCTAATTCATCATCATATGTACGTCTACCATCTTCTTTGATAATGCGTACCATTGTTCAACTTGTAAATATTAAACCTGTCACTGACTATTTGGATATTCGACAGCAAAAATTGTTTAAAAATATTCCATTAGAAATTAATTTTAATAATAATGATTTGTACATACCACTTATTGGTTTATTAAAATTATCTTTTAGAAGTATTGAGCCAAATAATTCCATACAGCATATACCCGAATATTTCTTGCTTTACATCAGTCCATATAATAGTTATCAACCAATTAGTTTTAAAACAGATTTAAATTCTAGTAATTATTGTCCACATGCATACACAATTGAAGAATTAACAAGTTCACAACTAGAATTTTTGACACCGTCAGGTAAGCGTGACGTAAACTTAGCCGTAAGTGGCCATCTATTTATTTATAAAAGCGATTTCAGACTGAAGCGAATTCTGCCTGAAAAGAATAAAATCTAAAGCTATTCTTTGTGGTCGTAAATTGAACGATTGCCATAAACAGCAGCTTTTGCCTAGTTGTAGAAGATTTTACCTTATAATTAAGTCTCCATTTAGTGAGTTGTATACATGGTTCGATGTAGTTTGAATACGATCTTAGAAGTGAAAAAGCTGATGTGAAACATGCTCAAAATTCAAAAAATGCAGCAAACAGAGTAATTTACAGGTAGTGTCTGCCACATTTGAAAACCAAAATCAGCTCTGACCTCAAAACGATAACGACCATCCAACTCCATGAAACTTTCATCTATTTCGTGAGATCTTCTTCGCTTGCTGTAACATATGGCCGATATTTGAGTTGGAAGGAATTGCATATCAGTCGTCGAACAGATTAGTTTGTCGACAACTTTCCTTTTTGTCGGTAGACATTTTGTCGACAAGTACACAGTTGACAGATATTTTGTCGAATTTATTTCGTCGACATATGTTTGTCGGCAACTCTCATCCTCAGGCTCACGGATCGATCCAAGAAGAAAAAGATCGACGTGATCGACTACATCCAAAGCCTGCCACTTTTGGTTGCAAAGAAGAAATCACTCTTATCGCTCTTGTGACAAATTATTCGTCGACGAAAAATTGTCGATAAAATAATCCGTCGACAAGGTATTCTTTAACAAATGATATACGTACCGTTGGAGGCACTTAAAAGACTTGAAAATGGAAATAGTTTATTTTTCGGTTCCTACGGAGAGGAATCTCTTTATGTCTCCGAAACAGCAAGTTTTCTCTATTTCTCAGTCGGTTTACAACAAGTAGTTAGCCCCAATCATGATCGAGCTTCCGTTTCAGCGAAAAAGAAACAGATTGCTTTGCTTTTATAGGTTTCGAAAAGAAATAGTTTTTGTAGGATTTTAGGTGTAAGAGAGTGTGTGTACATGTTTTTAAAATAAAAAATGTTTCAAAAAATAATTTAAAAACATAACTTTCATAGGCTTTATGCTCATTTGAAATAGGACATTTATTTGTCTCTTTAATCATGAGTGACTGTCATACAGACGACAAAAGTTGCTCAACGAGTGCGTTGAGTACACAAAAATGACTCGATCCCTCGAAAAATGAGACTTTGGTCTCTCGATATAAGTGCTCGAGCAGTTATTGGTTTCGAGTCCTCGGGTTTCAGACAAGTAGTCAGCCATCGAGAAACATTCCGAGCCGTTGAACAGAGATGATCGGGAAGATTTTTCATTTGAGTGAGCCCCGAACATCCCTCTATTCGACGACTCGAAATTTCTCTCAAAGGCTTGCTACCCACCTGAAACTCGAGGGCTCGTAATGGATAAACCTTTTGACGCTTATATCAAAGGTCCGAGTCTCATTTTTCTAGGGGTCGGGCCTTCGACAAGAGCATCCACAGCGTGTGTAGTTAGGCTGTTCCATTTGCTTTCTATCAGGCTCAAAACTGACTGCCATTCATAGAAGTCACATCTTTAGCAGTTTTTTTTTCTCTAGAAAATCACAACCTCAACAACTCCGTATACAATTCATCAACAATTATATTTTCTTACCATTTAATTTGCGCCTCACCTCACCTGGAAACATTAATATGCTTTCACGATGAAAATTATTTCTGTATTTGTAAGAGTAAAGTGGAAGCAGTATGTTATCGTTTTGATAAGATAGCCGATAAATGTAGCAATTGCCTGGCTGGTGGTGAATGTTTACAAGGTGATTTAACAGATAAATCTGATTTTGAATGTATTTGTCCTTGGTGTTACTATGGTTCTATTTGTCAGCATAATTCAAAATTATATTCTATTAATCTTGAATCATTATTAACTAATGATTTATTTTCATCGTCATCATCATTCACTGTTTATATTTGCATTCCTATAATATTATTTCTAATTGGTCTTATAAGTAACTTTTTTTGTATTCTAACATTTAATCGTCCAAAACCATGTCTCGTTGGCACTGGTTATTATTTATTGATAAATAGTTTTACAAGTCAAATATCATTATTTGTTTTGTTATTAAAAATTCTATATATTCTATTAAGTATCAAAAGATTAATAGTAAATGATTTATTGAATGATATTTTATGTAAATCACTGACATTTATGTTGTCTGTTTCCACGAGAATAAGTTATTGGATAACGGCTTTTGTGAATATTGAACGGGTTTATGTTACTCAGTATCCAACTGGTCAATGGCTTAAAAATCCAATAGTTGCTAAATATCTAATTATAGCTCTTTTCGTTATTCTTACAGGTTTGCATGTTCATGAAGCCATGTATCATAATGTTGTGCCAGATCCAAAATATACAAAATACGGTAAACTAAACATACGCCGGATGTCATAACTGATTGTACGATAAAAAAACACGTCTACAACTTTTGCAGGAACTTTGTTTGATTGAGCATCAAAACTCTTGACAAGACAAACTACTCGCGTCTTTCCAAAAGCAAAAGTCATCGAAGCTACAAGCGTTTTGAGTGAATCTTTCATTCATAAACATCTCTTAAAAAATTGCGTTCAAGTTTGTCAGCCTCATGCTGTGCTGTTCTCTGAATCTTAGTTGGTTTAAGCTTTAATCTTGAACCAGAACGAAATCGAGAATATAAATTCCCATTATATCATTCTGAAACTTAAACTATCAAAACACAAAATCAATCCTTGCACGAAGCTAGGATCGAACACAC